AATTGTGCATGTGCATTTACTTCAATATAAACTGAACTGGTATAATTGCATAGCCATTCCATTTGGGTTTTTTCTACCTAAACCAAACTATTTTCCTAAGCCAACCATTAACTTCTCTCTGAAGCTCACTGCTAATTTTATTTTGAAGATGATTTCACAAAAAATACAAATCTCTAATTTTATTGATTTAAAAACTGCTACTTACAGAATACCTCTCTTTTTTTCTCTTAATATGATGATGCTTATATGGACCATTTCAAATAATATATGTTTTACAATTATATAGGATATAACAATAGTTGTTTGGTTTTTTGTTTTGTTTTGTTTTGTTTTTGGTTATTAGGGTAACACCTTGGGATATTCAGGGCTTACTCCTGCTCTGTGCTCAGTGATCATTCCTGGAGGTGCTCAGGAAACCAGATGTGGTGCTGGGGATCAAACGTGGGTCAGTTGCATGCAAGGCAAGATCCTTGTCCACTATACTAGCCCTCTGCACTGGTATTTCAGTTTTGCTCAGAAATTTTATAGCCCCTGGGTCTGAACTATTCAAGAGGAATTCAAATGAGCTGCAGAGTACATTGTAGAATATGTGGTAACACATGAGATAATTGACTGATCAATACTATTTCTACAATAATTTTCTACAATAATGTTTTCTTATTATCAAACTCAGGTTTGGGCTTCCCTGAGTAAAAAACTGGGTGGTTTCATCCAAGCATCTTTTGACAGGAGCCCTGGTCAGTCTCTGGAGGTATGATATGAAAGTTATCAAAGGAATCATTTAGTTTATCTCTTCAACTCAGGTTAGAGCTTGAAGTGAGTGCTAATTTTAGAATCCAAAATTAAAAGCCCCGTTATCCTCCACCTGATGCTCTTCCTCTTGTGTAGCTATGTCTTGACTATAGCATGGGAGAAAGGATGAAAAAGACTGATGGGCTTGACAAGAACATGGATTTCTTCCCAATAATTCTCAGTCTAAAAATCATAGGAGTACATGGGTGAGGGTATCCCAGAATTAACCAGGAAGCATGGGTGAGACTCATCCAAGCATATGGAAAGTTCCTTCATGCATGAATGAACTAGCAGAGGAACCCAGGTGTGTGGGACCCGGGGCTGAGACGTCCAAGCCTGCTCAGATCAGGACTGGGCCTCCTCCACTCAGATCCCCCATCTTTCAGTAGCTAGGCATTACACCCACCAACTGCCCCCAGCACCCAATAATCCCATCAACAGCCAAAACCCAGAGACTATACTATAAAACTAAGCTCCTAGAAGCTTATTATTGTCTTGCTGTCGGAAAACCCAGCAAGCTATCAAGAGTATCCTGCCTGCATGGCAGAGTTTGGCAAGCTCCCCGTGGTGTGTTCTATATGCCAAGACATGGGTCTCATTCCACTAACTCTGAAAGGGCCTCTAATGTGGCACTTGCTGAAATCTCAGGGCTAGAACGAATGGAGACATTACTGGTGCCTGCTTGAGGAAATTGATGAACAATGGGGTGACAGTGACAGTGGCAGGGACAGCATATATATATATATATATATATATATATATATATATATATATGGGCTGGAGTAATAGCACAGCAGGCAGGGAATTTGCCTTGCACGCGTCCGACCTGAGTTTAATTCCTCTGCCCCCTCAGAGAGCCTCACAAGCTACCGAGAGTATCTCACCCACACGGTAAAGCCTGACAAGCTCCCCGTGACATATTTGATATGCCAAAAACAGTAACAAGTCTCACAATGGAGACATTACTGGTGCCCGCCCAAGCATATCAATGAACAACGGGAGGATAGTGCAGTGCTATATAGGATACAACTTTTGGGAATATAGCGTCTTCATTTAGTAAATAATCTAAAATAATCTAATAACCAAAGAAGAAGAGTTTGGGAAAGTTCTAGAATTCCACAATCCTTTTTGACTCATTAAATAAGTTCATTTTTCTAACAGATAATAAAAGTTTCTAACTGATCTTCATAGTCTTATAAGTTTATGTTACAATAAAGACTATTTCAAGATATTTGGCTAATTGAGCAAAGATATGCTTTGGGAAAAAATTCAACTTGCAAGTATAACCATCAGAATTTCCCAGTCATCCCTCAAGTTCATGTACAAGGAAATGGACCCATTTGTAACTATAGATATTATTAATGCTCTTTTATCCCCCATATTATGTAATTTTAATGAAAACCAAAGGGCAAAGTGACATAAGAAGACTGTGACTCGGATGGCAACACCTGGTTTTGAAAATGTGAAGTTTCTATATATTTTCTTCAGATTGGACTAGCACAAAAGATGGATCAAACTAAGACATAAGAAAGTCTTTTTTTTATTATTAGTGAAACACCATGAGATACAGTTGTAGACTTACAATTTTTTGTGCTTGGGTTTCAGTTATACAATGATTGAGTGCCCATCCCTCCACCAGTGCCCATTCTCCACCTCCAGTGCTCCTAGTATTCCTCCCACGCCCCCACCACCCCCCATCCCACCCCATCCCTGTGGCAGGGCATTCCCTTTTTGTTTTCTCTCTCTTTTTGGGTGCTGTGGTTTACAAAAGAGGCATTGAGTGGCAATCATGTTTGGTCTATAGTCTACTTTCAGCATGCATCTCCCATCCTGGAAGGATCCTCCCAACACCCTTTATTTGGTGTTCCCTTCTCTGTCTGCGATGCATTTTCCCCTAGCATGTGCGGCTGGCCTCCAGGCCATGGAGTGAAACTCCTGGTACTTATCTCAGCTATTCTTGGGTGTTAGTCTCCTCTTTTGTTACTTTATATCCAGATGAATGCAATCTTTCTATGTCTCTCCCTCTCTTTCTGATTCATTTCACTTAGCATGATACTTTCTATGTAGTACCACTTGTATGTAAATTTCGTGACTTCATCTTTTCTAACAGCTGCATAGTACTCCATTGTGTAGATGTACCAAAGTTTCTTTAACCAGGCATCTGTTCTCGGGCACTCAGGTTTTTTCCACATAAGAAAGTCTTTCACAAAACCTTTCCCATTGTTCTTCTGTGTTCTCTGAGGAGAGGATAGAGAGCAAAGAAATCAGAGAGGATGGGAAGAAGCATAAGAACTCTTAGTCTCAGGGCTGGAGCCATGGTACATGGAGTCGGTAGGGTGTTTGCCTTGACACAGCTGACCCGGGTTCGATCCCCAGCATCCCATATGGTCCCGTGAGCATCGCCAGGAGTAATTCCTGAGTTTCAGAGCTGGAAGTAACCCCTGTACATTGCTGGGTGTGACCTAAAAAAGAAAAAAAAAAGAACTCTTACTCCCAATCACTCTGTGTCTTCAGGATAATGTCTGAGAATCTCATTTGGATCTGTAAACACCTCCCCCCCACCAATTTCTGTGCTCATTTGGCATTGCTGCCTCACCCCCAACTCTAGGGAAAGGGGTTGCAATCAGAGAGATAGCAAGGTAGCCAGACCAGCAAGAAGCATAGCTTTGACTGGTGGTGGGTGGAAGTTCCTAGAAATGATTGATGAGACTTATATTACATCCTACTCCTGGTCTGTTTGCTTTGGGGTCACACATGGCAGTACTCCTGGGCTATTTCCAGCTCTATGTTCAGGAGTTGCTCCATGCAGTACTCAAGGCACCATGTCTATGCCAGTTGAAAAGATCAAGTTGCTGATAAAGTACCTTAACCCCTACACTGTCTCTCTATTCCAGTATCGTACTCATCCACTCTTCTCAGTGCATTCCCAGCATTCACCCTGAAGCATTCTTCCTATAAACAATCTCTTTCTACCTTCAGTACCTATTTCCAAGTCCCCTCCTACATAAAGCATGAAGAGACTTTCTCTCCGACACTAATCTTCTAATGCCCAGAGCACTTGGCTTCAGCTAAGTCTTGCATTTTTCTGCATTGTATTAGCTATTCTGGTTTAGATGACAAAGTTAGGTATGCCATACCTTGAGTCTTACTGGAGTTATAACCCCCTCAGTCACAAATTATGAATTATGTTTTGCACCACAAAACAGTGCCACTGCTTCAACTGCAAGAGAAGTCTGGCATCTGCTCTAGTTGCGAACTCAATTCCTAGGTCTTGGGCAATATATCAGTGAGCACCTGCCAACAGTTTTATAAAAAAAAAAAATCCTACCATTCAAGTGTATCCACTTTTCTAAGAACAGAATGAGTGGAAATATTCATGTTAATAAAACTTAAGACCCAATTATCAACTATTTTTCCCAATTAAACTGCCTTAAACATAAATAGCTACTGTTACCCTTGAGATGTGATCGTATGTAAGATGAAATTCTGTATGTCTTCTCAATCATTTATGGGTTTGAATGATGCTTCCATTTTGTTAGTTACATTTATTTTCCACTTTTAAAACACTTAACTACACTGAAACATAACTTCTTTGGTGATGAAAACCAAACATTGTTGGGAACTCAACAATCACCTGACTAAAAGCAACTCATTTGGAAAGTACTTCTAGAGTATATTTATGGTTTGTTTGTTTAAGATATCTTTAAAGTCTTTACTTATAAAATAAATGTTAAGAACAACAGACAGGAGGGGCCTAGAAGGATAGAATAGCAGATAAGAGACTTCTCTTACATGCAGCCAAGCTGAGTTCAAACGCAGCCCATATGTCCCAGAACATGCCAGGAGTGATCCCTGAGCCGAGCCAGGACTAAGCTCTGAGCACCACAGACAAAACCAAACAACTGTCATGGGAGATAATATAGGAGTAAAGGTATATGTAAGACATGTGTTCAATTCCAGTTCTAAACCTGGCACTACTTGCTAGAGCCCAGAGACCCCTACGCTCCACTGGGGGGGGCCTGGTGGTCCCTGACACAGAAATGCGAGGGCACTGCCACATCTTACATTTTCAGTTTGAACCTCTGGTTCAAAGAGAGTAGTCTCCAGATTCACTGACCACAACTTAGAAAGTCCACACTCCCCTCTTCCCTCCAGTTTTTTACTAGCAGCAAGTAACCAAAGTTAAATTTCTGTCTGCATCCTAACAGAATTTTGTGCCGCTCTATCAAAACTTCGAGAATTTTTATAAACGGAACCTTTACATGAGAATCAGAGACAACTGGAACCGACCCATTTGCAGTGCTCCAGGGCCTTGTTTCGATGTGATGGAGAGAGTGTCAGATGATTACAACTGGACATTTAGGTGAGGCAGTTACCTGGAGGGTTTGGGTTGAAAGGAAATCTATTTTTTAATTTTTATTGTTTAACTAGGACAACATTTATTTTATATAACAGAGTTTTAGGCATACAATGTTCCAACACCAATCCCTCAACCAGTGTCAACTTAGCTCCACCAATATCCCCCAGGTCCCCTCCCATCCCACCAGCCTTCCTCCCTAACAAGCACATTTTAAAATTTGATTGTTGTTATTTGGATCTCCTGCTTGAAGTATTGTTGGCTCTGGGAGGCAGATATATGTACATATATCTTACCTCTATCCCATCTACGTGTCCGAGGTTTCTGGCCACTCCCCTCTTATATCCCATTCTCCTTTTCTTATTTCCCCTGACTCCAAAAATTTATCAAGAAATACTACTACAGGGCCAAAATTTTTATCTGTATGTTAAGAACTGTGGAAGTAGTCAGTCTTCCATTATTCGGTCCTTTGTAAGTTCACATATTACCAGTAGGGAAAATAACAGTAATTTAGATACCATGAGTAATTTGTTTATATTGCAATTATCTGAGACCTTTTGAGCCCAAGTTAGAAATTGCCCACTTCAGCTTTATTGACAAATTATACCCTTTTAGGTTTTGCTGAAGTAGACAGTCATGGCCATGGCTCTTCTCAGTAAGAAAGTTCTTGGTGCAATTTAAACTGGAGCACAAGAATTATGGCAACAATTCCCCCATGGAAACTCACAACTAAGTAATATTCCATGGCTCAGAATACCTCTTTCCAGTGTCCATGCCAACTTCAACACTGTTATGGTATGTGATTACTTTCTTTTAAAAACAAACCACTTGTGGCAAAACAATGCAAATCGTAAAGAAAATAAATCATATCACCTGGATCCATGCTGCCTTTGGAAAAGAGGTTTATTTGGGATTAAAAAATGATATTAAGTTAGAAAAGCCCCTTGTACTTATCTGTCCCTTCTCTCTGCAGATTTACAGGAAGAACCATCAAGGATGTCATCAACATGGGCTCATATAACTTCCTTGGTCTGGGAGCCACCTATGACGAGTCTATGAGGACAGTGAAGGATGTGTTAGAGACGTATGGTGCAGGTGTGGGAAGCACCAGACAAGAAATGGGTATGTCTGTTCACTTTGGAAATCACATTTTCAAATTACTTCAAATTCAATTTTCTTTGGACTACTTCTCAAACTTGTATCATAACTATACTATATATACAGTGCTATTTGTTTTATAATATTTGTGCTATTATAAAATGGAAAAATCAAAAATGGTATATGAAAGGCTTTTTAGAAATTTCAAACATCATACTGTTGCCAAAGTATCTTATTAATTGCAGAGTTCTGTTCTCTAGAGTAAAAATGGATCTTTCTTGACCACATTATCTAAAATAGCATCTATTGCTCCCTTCCATCTGCTTCTTTTCTGGGTCCCTTTTCCCACTTAAAAAACGGATAGATAGATAGATAGATAGATAGATAGATAGATAGATAGATAGATACTTGATATGCAAAAACAGTATCTGTTCAATTTATGTAATTTTATGGGTTTGACCATATATATACATCAACAAAAGTATCACTGAGGAGAGTAATATACATTTCTATCACCTTAGTAAGTTTTTAATATTCTCTTTATGTGGTAAAAACATTTAACATGAGTTCTATTGTCTTTAAAAAATGTGAATGTACAATCTATAATCATTAGCTGTGTTTACTTAACTGTTTCAGCATATCTTTGGAACGTACAGAACTGAAATTTGATACCTATTGAACAGCAGCATCATATTTGGATTTAGAACAGCTTCCAGTTTTCCTAATGCCAATCACTTAGTGTCTACAGTGATCTTGCCTTTGTATTGCATATTGACCATGTCTGCTACTAAAGAATAAACTTTGTGAAGGGAGGAACTAGCTGTATTAACTGTTGTAATGAATCAATTAATGATGAATATATGGTCAATGTAGATCATATTGCCTATTTTTCTTTTAGCATTATTCTCTTATTCAGAGAAGTAAAATTTGTGAAAAGGGAATTACTCTTATTCTTATCCTGGGGAAAAGATGCACGGTCACTCTAGGAGAGTGTTTTGAAATTTCTAGCACAGTATTTTCTTATGTATCATCTCATTTGTTTATTACACACAAATGTCTTGTGCTATAGTAGCCTGCATACATACAGTTGTTCCGATCTGCATATTAAGAATTAAAGTGACTAAGCGATATGCCCACAGTAAAAAATTAATGATCCTGAGCTGGAGCGATTGCACAGTGGACAGGGCATTTATTTGCCTTGCACGTGGCTGACCCAGGTTCAATTCCCAGTATCCCATATGGTCCCTGTGAACACCGCCAGGAGTAACTCCTGAGTGCAGAGCCAGGAGTAACCCCTGTGCATCGCCAGATTTGACCCAAAAAGAAAAAAAAAAAAAAAGAAGAAGAATGCTCCTAATCCCTAATCTAGCTCAGCTTTCCCAATAGAGTAATTTCCTAAATGGGAAAATATGTGCAGGGTCAATTTTAGGTCAGTTTCAGGTCTGGAAAAATCAGGTAGACATGGCCAGGGAAACAGAGCCACAGTATTGCAGGTGTAGTGCTTGTCTTGCACATGGCTAACCTGGGTTCGAAACCTAGCATCTCATATGGTCCCCCAAGTCCTGCCAGGAGTGATCCCTGAACATACCTCTTGCTACAAAAGAAATTTAACATTTATGGAAAGTGATTCATACCACCTCTTAGATACTGAGTTAGCATAAGGGTTTCAAAATTATAAAGAACTATTCATGCCTGAGCAACAATCACAATAAAAATTAAACAAAACAACCTTTTATCCACCTGTTCAGTAAATGCTTAGCTATAGGTCCAGAGTTAGTGAGTAGTTGTCCAGGTTTTCTTAGAATGAAATCCTATTGCTCTTCACTGTAAATCTTGAATACCAGAGATATTAGCAGGGTGTGGAACAAAAGTTCTGTTTAAAAGAAACATATTTCCCATGATTCCACATCTAGAGTTGAGACATACTAATGAAGAGTCCTAGTCACAAGAGTAAAAGTTAAAGTTAAAGCCTTTGGGAATGTAACCACTGCTGCTTATGATACCCAACACAGGACTGTTGATGCTGACATCAAGACAGAAAACATTCCTAGAGATGCTAAACCCCTAACTCAGTGAGACAGAGAATTTGTTGATCATAATTTGCATTAGCAGTTGGAAGCTTAACATTAAGCTTGCTTAATGCAGGCAATGGAACCCATATGGAATATTGATCCCCACACTTACAAGTTCAATAGACCATAAGAAACTAGGCAGTGATGAAGATTCCAATTTGGACTGCTGACAGTAATGTCTTTATCTCTCTACCCATGCTTCTGAATGTCTAGGTTTTTAATATTTACCTGCTTCATTTGGCTCTACAACTCAAATTCTAGGAGGAAACAGAAAAATGGAAGCCTCTCCCCAACTAATTTTGAGGAAATAAAAATATAAATAATAAGAATCTATACAGTTAAAAATAAATAAAATTTGAAAGCATTCTATAACCTAAGAATTAAATTCAAGAAATTAAAAAATACTAGCAAGACCTTTTCATTTATTTCAAAGATATAAGTAACTTATGGAATATTGATATTCTATAGTACTAAGAAAATGTTTATATGTGTCAATGGAATAAGAGCATAAACATGGGAGTAAAGAGGTTTAACAAAATTAAGTTTTTTAGGAAACAACAGCTATAAAGTTCAGACTATTTTATCACCTTAAAACTGACTTACTGAGTAGAAAAGAAACAAATATGATAACCTCTCAGTATCTATATTGCAAACCATAATACCCAAAAGGAGAGAGAGAGAGAGAGAGAGAGAGAGAGAGAGAGAGAAGTGCCTAAGTGCCTACCATAGAGGCAGGCAGGTTCAGGGAATGGGGGCAAAGGGGGTGCAAGCTAGAAGGTGGTGGCTGGAGGAAAAGTGGGGACACTGGTGGTGGGAAATGTGCATTTGTGTGGAAGAATGGATGTTAGAACATTGTATAATGAAACCCAATCATGAACAGCTTTGTAATGGTGTATCTATGGTGATTCAATAAAAGGAATTTAATTTAAAAAAAATTCTGAATGGGGCCAAGAAAGTATACCAGAAGATACGGATAGCACACTTGCCTTGCATGCAGCTGACCTGGGTTTGGATTCCATCCTTGGTACTATGTATGGTCCCCTGAGCCCTGCTAGGATTGATCTCTGAGTTCAGAGCCAGGAGTAAGCCCTGAGCATCACTGTGTTTGCAAAATAAAGAAAGATAGAAAGAGAGAAAAAGAGAAAGAAAGAGGAGGGAAGGGAAGGGAAGGGAAGGGAAGGGAAGGGAAGGGAAGGGAAGGGAAGGGAAGGGAAGGGAAGGGAAGGGAAGGGAAGGGAAGGGAAGGGAAGGGAAGGGAAGGGAAGAAGCTTCCTGGAACTTTTAAAAATAGTTTCTAAAAGTAATTCATTTTTAAAAGAAAGAAGTCCGATTTGGCCAAAAACTTAAACTCAGCTATGTTCTATAATCCAAAAAATATATACCTAAATTAATGTTGTATAACAAGGCTAAAATTATAAAATAGTTGCAAGTCAGGTATCTGGTTTTCATCTCCCTCATGCAACCACAACCAGAATAACCTCAGTGCTGGAGGAGGGGTAATGTTGATTCAATGGAATGAGTAGCAAGGAAGACCAGGATATACTTGCACCAACTCTGCCCCTATAACTGTAAAAACTTGACCCAAAATTAAGTAGATAATACATCTCTATAAGCTATATATACATATATATATAGAGAGAGAAAGAAATTATAAATGTCATTTTTAAATGTGGTCTGAATATGGGAATATAGGTATAATAACCCTTGCCTTGCATGTGGCTGAACTTTTGACCCCCTGAACCACATATAGACCTTAGAGTATCAACAAGAGTGATTTCTGAGCCCAGAGCTAGGGGCAAGCCTGCTCACCATCAGGTATGGTTCAAAATCAAACAAATGGAATATGCTCTGACTGCTGCTATTTATTTTCAAGTGCAACTAAAAAGTATTGTAAATAATGAAAATGGGGGATATCTTGACTCTCTTTGATAAGTTTAAGAGATCACAGTAGGAAATTTATTCTTATATCCTAAATGTGAGACTGGCTGGAGCAATAGCACAGCAGGTAGGGCGTTTCCCCTGCACGCAACCAACATGGCCGATCCGAGTTCAATTCCTCCGCCCCTCTCGGAGAGCTCGGCAAGCTACCGAGAGTATCTCACCTGCACGGCAAAGCCTGGCAAGCTAACCATGACGTATTCGATATGCCAAACACAGTAACAATTGTCACAATGGACACGTTACTGGGCCTGCTCGAGCAAATGGATGAACAACGGGAGGACAGTGACAGTGACTTATGTTCATAGAATTCTAGTAGTACTCATATATAGTCCCTGTATATAATGGTACTGAATCTTTAGAATACATAAATATTACCTGGGCATCATGTTAAAAATTGATGTTAAAATGTGAGACAAAAAAGCATAGCAATTTAAAATCATTGTTAACACATTTTAAATCTTTTATGTTCGTGCTGTTTTTTTGTAGTTGGAATGTTCCAATGATCTGGGCTATCTCCTTCAGTTGTGTGCCATATATGACACCTTCAGTAATTACAGACTAGTGTTTTCTAAATGGTTTTATTGATGTGCTATGAAATATTAGAAATCTTTGAGTTTGACACGTTTGTATTACATCATGAATTAGTGAACACAAGACTGAAAAGCTAGCCAAAAGATGACTGATACTCAATATTCGGGTTTTCTTGTTTGTTGCTTTGGTTTGATATTTTTTCTGCTTTTTGGGTCACACCTGGCAATGCACAGGGGTCACTCCTGGCTCTGTACTCAGGAATTATTCTTGGCAGTGTTCAGGGGACCATATGGGATGCTGGGAATCGAACCCAGGTTGGCTGCGTGCAAGGCAAATGCCCTAGCCACTGTGCATCGCTCCAGCCCCTCAATATTCTGTTTTTAAGGTGGCTTACATTCAAATGTTTAACTAGAAATTTACTAGAAAAACTATAAACAGGCCTGAAAGTATATAAATTTAAAAAATTTTCACACCAGTATC